TTTTCACGATGGTAAGGCTATAGTAAGGCATGTTTTGGGTGATTTTTGAAATATTCATATAAAATACTTTTTGGAGTTTTAAACACAAAATAATCACTTGGCAGCATGTTTTAGGACCTAATCTTGCATTTTAGTGCATTTCGGGGACTTTTTATTTTTATGGATATTTTCACGATGGTAAGGCTATAGTAAGGCATGTTTTGGGTGATTTTTGAAATATTCATATAAAATACTTTTTGGAGTTTTAAACACAAAATAATCACTTGGCAGCATGTTTTAGGACCTAATCTTGCATTTTAGTGCATTTCGGGGACTTTTTATTTTTATGGATATTTTCACGATGGTAAGGCTATAGTAAGGCATGTTTTGGGTGATTTTTGAAATATTCATATAAAATACTTTTTGGAGTTTTAAACACAAAATAATCACTTGGCAGCATGTTTTAGGACCTAATCTTGCATTTTAAGGCATTTCGGGGACTTTTTATTTTTATGGATTTTTCACAATGGTAAGGCTATAGTAAGACATGTTTTGGGTGATTTTTGAAATATTCATATAAAATACTTTTTGGAGTTTTAAACACAAAATAATCACTTGGCAGCATGTCTATCTACCTACCTATCTACCTATCTATCTATCTATATATCTATCTCAATTAAACAACATGTCATACTAAATGATTACCAGTTTACGCTTAAGGCCATGCCTCTAAAACAAGCCCACTACATCAGAATTTGAGGAAATACATTAGGACAGCTACTACCGTGGGATTGTACAGTATAATATTACATAAACTGTAAATGAGTTAAACCTAGAGGTTGCATGTCAAAATCAGAGTAATATTAGGTTTTTGTTGAAGTGGTCGTGCTACTGTGTTCTGACTCTGAAATAAGATTGTAACAAGGATAAGTCACACTGCTACAGAAACTCCTACAACACAAAATACTAAGCACCAACAGCTCATCATAGGTATTTATACAAGAATATTGCCTTTTAACAGTGTGTAACATTAGTACATCTCACAATTAGTAATGGTCCACATAAGTCACATAATATAAGACAGACTGTGGGCGGGACTTTCAACAGAATCGCAAAATTAAATTGTGCTAATGCAGTGCCTTTACAAAACGTATTTGATTGTTTGAACGCACCGCGGCGCACATTCTTTCGGGCCAGGGGCTGCAGTTGGTGATCTTGTTGTGCTGTGCTGTGCTGTCCTTAGGGGGTAAGCGACGCCATGTGATTGTGCAGCGTATTCTGGCTCGCAGTTGTTATCCTGAGGCAGTTGGCTATCTGAGCAATTCCTAACATTTCCGACGATTCCTGTGATGTCTAAATAGAAAAGGTCATGACCCAGTCGTGACGCTGTTGGCTGTTGGGACGCTGTTGGCAGGCAGTACAGTAAAGAGCTTCCTCACAACCAGTTGGTAGAAACTTCACTTTATCTCAGGATTAAAGATTTTATGATGAATCTATCTATCTAGCGACAGAAAAAAAGTAAAAGCAAAATTACTGGCCATACGCAGCACAGAAGCAAATGGTTCTGTCCAGTACCTGGACAAACTGGTTGAATGGAAGGAATCTCTGTACGTCTTCTTGTTTGTATTACTTTGTTTTTATTTGTATATGTGTCAAAATGAAAGAAAAATGCATTTACAGTCCTACTCTCAGTAAGGGTTTATTGGTTTTAATTGCAACAAGCGACTCTCAAGTACCAAACCCACTCTGCATAATGTATGGCATTCAGTGCTATGGTTATACTTCAATGCAATATACAGTATTTGTACATTTTGGACTTTAAAATGGTTTGTGGTGGAAAAAAAAGAACATAGCACCTTTGATGTAAACAGCACTAAATATAATTGTGGTCATAGTGTGACAAAAAGATGGCAGTGATCAAAGCTATTAGTTGACATTCCTAAACAGATACGCAGTACATTTAGATAATTATGAAATAGTTAGTCATGCTGGTCATTCTGTGAATCACTACCAGCTGTTCTCGTTATTAGTGGTCGTCACAGTAGAAATACAAACACTTTGCACAAAGACGACACAAAGGAGAGTAACTTCGACAAAGTAAGGCAGGCTTTTTTGGAAAATATAAAACGTTTTGTAAAATGGACAAGAGAGACTTTTTCCAAAATTTAGAAGGTTTGACCAATCTTATCGGACATCCCTACTTGTAGCCTGATATTTGCAAAATTATCTATTATCTGTAAGAATTGTTATTGGTTGTTCCTCCGATAATGAAAACCCTATAATGCAAAGCCTAGGTTTTTCCAAATATGCTGGAATTGCTTGTAGGGTCCTGAGACATTTACGTTAGTTTTGGTGGGCATGGATACATTAGTATCGGAATATCAGATATTCAGCAAAAAGGTTAATATCGGACATCCCTAGTTACAAGGTTTACAAGATTTCTTTTCCATTGAAAAAATAAACAATTAATTTGGTTTGACTTGACTTTGCACCTGTGAAAAAAAAATGGAGGGATTATCCACTGACATCATTCCAGGACAGAAAACCCTGATTAAACCTGTTTTTTTCCCTGGGTCCTGATCACAGAACCAGAAAACAGAATTGACACTCTCACAAGACACCGATTATCCTGAAAACCTCAAAACACGAGGCCACTTTTGTGCATAAAAAAGCAGCAAGGATATTTTTCAGAAACAGAGAAAATAGATTCAAGACTCTCTCTGCCGCCCCGTTACCTAGCAAAGTCTCCTTTTCAAAAATGTGGAATTGGTGGCTGTTTGAATGCAGGATTTTGACATCCTCAAATGCATAGTACGCTGCCATGGTGAAGTTAACGTCACCCGAAGAAAGCAAGTCAAACACGCACGACTGAAAATATAGGTCCTCCACAGGGAGCCACTCTTTGCACTTGGCCTTTGCAGACTGGTAAGTGAAGCCATTTCTGGCCTGAGTGGCAACGTGCGACTTTTCCACTCGTGCCCTAAAGCTCTCCAGATCAATGCGTTGGCTGGCAGGACAGCCGTGAAGACACAAGTACAAGTCCTGATTATCTGCCTCCTCTATGGTGGTCACCACTTCCTCTGGCATCCGCACAGCAAATGTCAGGTATTGGGCCACTTGTCGCACAACTATAGTCGTTCCAATGTACTTGGCCTGGATCTCCACGTGCTGTCCAGGAACCTTCTCAACCACTCTTAGAGTGTTGCCCCCGCGCCTATCCCTTCCACCATTGGTGGAACCGTCTGCAAATGCAGCAGGGAGCATACCTGCTTCAGCGCTGTACATTTTCTGGTCCACACATTCCTTGAAGTTGTTGAAGATGATCGTGAGCTGCAGGAATGAAAACCACAGAAGTACCAGGTAAAGATAAAATCCATTTGTATTCATACAATCATGAGGTTTTTGACCTTCACAACCTTCTACATAGACTAGGGTCCAAAACCAGCCCCCTTGTGGTTTCAATCCGGCCTGCTCAATGAATTTTGAAAATAAAACAATACCAAAAAGGCAAACCTTGGCATGCATAGTAAAGTAAGTGAAAGAGAAACTTTTTTTTTTTTTTTAGGTTTTTTTAGGTCTGTAAAGTTAATGTCATAGGGGAAAGATGAAGGATGTCAATATGTGTTTAAAGGTCAGAACCAGAAACCTTAATGAAATGCTTAATGAAAATGATACAACAAATGGGAAGAGGACCCAGAAGCAGACAACTGAGGTAAGAACTACAGGTAGGAACAATGTGTATATACAGAGTATCGGGGAGGTGAAAGGGATAAGGATCCATTGAGGTGGTAAGCATGCTGACTCCACCAGGTAGTCAATCTCCAGGAGGTTCGAGGTGCAAAATCGTAATCAAACCTTAAATTTCGATTAATCGCCCAGACCTCTGGAGCAGAGCGTCGAGTCTTGTAACTCGACGCAATGAGGACAAACAAATCCAAATCCACGTTTGCACGATTTGCAACAGATCAACATCGCAACATTGTTCTGGAGCTGCTGCGTGTCTACATGCCACTATCAATCTAATGTAAGTTTTGGCTCTAATCATTGCTAAGTATTGTAATCATTATAATTGGGTTGGAAAATATTTGTAAAACTCCTTCTACTCAACTTTGTATTGTTGATAAAAAATCAGTTTGGAATTGACAACATATACATTTCATCAGCATGATCTTAAATTTAATTTTCATATAAAAACGTATGTAAAATCCTTTGGGGCAAAATGCCAAATGAAATGAAATTGTACTTGTCTTGACATGATTGGGAAGCAAGATTGAATCAACAGATGTATTGCATGAATAAACTTAACTCAGAATTTGTAAGTTTTCTTGTGTCTTTAAACCTCGGAACTTTAAAATGGAAAGTGAAAAATGAATACAATAGGGCCATCGGACTCTCGGGCTCACAATAAATGTATTCAATATACAGTGATTGATACAGATAATAATGATAACATTTATTAACCACGTGTCTTTGACTGAACCTCAATGGGTATCAGTGTTTACATGGATCAAAAATACCTTCAGGTGGTCGAGAGGACACTTGGAAGTGCTGAGCAACGGAAAGGACACGGCAGCTGTATTTGGTTTCACAGGGTTACTATACTCATGTATTAAATATATAATTTCACATTTGTGTATGGACTCATATATTAAATATATAATTTCACATTTGTGTACCAGCATCTGCTCGGCCTGTACCACCGAAAATTTACATGTTTGTTATTTTCACACCGACAGTCACTAAAGGGAACTCTAGCTAGCTGGAGTACAACTTATACTGTGAAGCGACTTATAGTCGGTACTTTAAAATAAAACACAAACCACCTTGATCTACTTGTAAAACTCGTTTAAATTACAAAAAAAAAAAGCGTCTGTTTCCTTACCTTGCTTGTAGCTGTGGCTAAAGACCCTGGCACCACAGGAGTATTGGTGACTTGTACAAACAAGTATTTGTTGTGAATAAGAGGCCAGGCTCCTTCCAATTTACATGTCTGGAAGTTGTCTCCAAAGGTTCGCAGATGAGGGTCACCGAAGAAGCCACAATGGGTGTAATTAGGCGGCAACACGTTGCTCTCGAAGTGGCATACTTTTGGGCCAGGATCTAAGTGTTCCTGGTTCTCTGGCACAAGCAAAGATGGCGTCGGTGGATGCGGGATTCGAACAAGCGGCTGGGATGTTGGACTAACTTTTGAGCAATTGTGCTGGTCCATCAGATCCACTATGCCATGGTGCGCTGTGTGGTACGCCAAGTCGCCCCTGCATGTACGTGCAGTTCGGTGGACACAAATGTTAAATGCTCGTAGCACCCTGCAAAACTCCTCTTCTGATCCGGAGTGTGCAAATGAAGCCCAGAATTCTGAGTTACACTTGAGGATGTTGCACTGGAGACTCACTGTCAGAAAGCAGAAATGACAAAACTTGCAGTAATCTTGTATGTACTGTTACTAGTAGGCTATTATTACAACTTTGACAAAGGGTCTATTAGAATTTGTCCGCAGAACACAGCTATGTAGTAGGGTACTTAAGTTAAGCCATGGTGAGTTGTGGTGAGTCTTAATGTTGTAATTGCATCTATCCCGACTCAATCTACCATCCAGGAGGATTATTTTAACAACAAAAGACAGCCGCTAGAGAAGAGAAGGGCGCAAACTTAGTTTGTTTGTGCAAAACCAAGGGGAATTAAAAAGGCATTTATTAAGGCATGTAATTTGGAGATTGAATGTCCATAGAAGCAATCCCGCAACACATTTACCACATCTGCTTGCCGACAGCAAAGCCCAAAAATCAGCTACTTATTATATGCATTTGTATTATGTTCATATTTGCATGTATATACACACTAAAATATGGGGTGTCAAAATCTCAGAGTCAAATTATTTTAAACGAGATCGTGTATTTAGAACTATATGGAGAGTAAACACACTCTAAGAGTAGAGTTAACAGTTAGTGTTGAATATTTTTACACATTTCATTGTTCATTGTGACGCTGAATTTGGTAGAATTAACTTAAGAAATGTTGACACTGGCCATAGATTAGAATTTTACTCTAATTTTGAGCGGGGCCAAACGTTAATTGTTAAAAGTTATTTGTTTTCAAGAAATCGTTGCTGATCATTTTATTATTTTGAATATTTTTATATTATAGGTTCATTTTTAAAATGTATTAATTCTAATTTTTAGTGGAAAGTTAAACGGGAAGATGTGAGGAAAAATATCACATTTGCTGTTCATTATGAGCAATGAGTGCAGTAGTGAGTAGTAATTTTAAATAATTGTGTAATAATTTCAAAAAATAATTTCAATATTTTCCAAAAATAATCATTATGATAATATAAACTTGGCAGGCGCCAAGTATGTGGTTCCTCTGGGAATCGAACACAAGACCCTCTGCTTTTAAGGCTGGCATGCTATCACTACACTGTGAAACGAATCATTTTTTATGATTTATTTTTTTAAGCAGCCCTATGGGAAATCAAATCTGCCTAGTGACATAATCTTTTATTTATAATTTGAAGAGAAATGTTAATGTTAACGCCTTGTTTTTGTGGTAAATTATATAAAATTGTTATATGAAGATATATATATAACTGTTGTTAAAAGTTATATTTTCTGGCTGGATATTTGTAGTATGCCATGGCAAAAACAAAAACAAAAAAAAAAACTGTGTTGGTTGTCTTCTCTTAGAAACATATGGACACCAAATAGTCATTTTAAAATAATACTAATATAAGGTTTGAGAAAAAACAAATTAATTAAATTAATTTTAAAAAACAGTCTCCAAGAGTACCTCTCAATGTTCAGCTTTTCTCTCACTAAAGCAAATACATATGGCTACAACCTAATTTACATTTATCAGTAATAGCAGAAAGTGCAACAACCTGCCTGTTCGCCTTTAAGGCAGTTGTCATTGTCACATTACAAACCATGTAAGCTTTTTTTCAACTAGTTCTGTACATAAGCACTTCGTCACAAACACGCAATAACCTCTGCTATTTATTAAATTATCATTTTAACGAACTCAATCCATTTCAAACATAATATAAAAGTAACACGGCGAGTATTACTTGGCCGAGCCTCTTTATACGCTATAACTCGTTGTAAACCGGCAACGTTTAAACTTCACGACAAGGCGGTGTATATTGTGCTTTTTTAAATGCATGTCGGTGTTGCAGATATATTAATTAACAAAAAAGAAACACCAGTGTCCTACCGGAGAGGAAGAGAGACAGAAACAAGGCGAAGACTCTGAAAACATTTAACGCCGAAATTCCTCCTCTATTCCCCATAACCATCCATTCAGCTCCGCTTTTTCTGCTCAAAGCCAAGTCCAGACTAGGTAAACTCGAAAAGTCCAAAAAGTAAATTCGCGCGTGTCCACCAACAGGTAAGAATAAAAGTTACTAATTTATCCACCCTTCTCAATGTGTGGGTGTTTTTAAGGTATGCTGTTTTAAGCGGAGTAAGAGTACAGTGAAGCCAAGTAGCCAAGCTGCCTTCTGTGTTGACAGTGCATACTAGCCAGCTGCCTTCTGTGTTGACAGTGCATACTCAGAAGGTGATGATAATCGCTGTGGCCATAATCGACGCCAGTTTCACGTTACACGTTTGTGCGCACATAAAACAACCAAAAAAAATGATGCCCATTTAATACAAGAGTTATGTCTCAATAAAGTTAAGACTTTCTATTTGACTTTACTGTCCAACATAAATGCCTTATTATTATTATTATTATTATTATTATTATTGTTGTTGTTGTTGTTGTTGTTATTATAGATATACAGTATTATATATTTTACACAGTATTAACTCAAATGTGTTGTATAAATTCATTCATAATACTATACATTCTGTTACATTTTTAGAATATTTACTTGTGTTTTATTAAATAGAGTATCTAAAATAATATAAAAATGTTTTGTTCTGATATTATAAATCAGAAGTACTTCTTTGTTACCAATTCTCATAGATAAAATACATCATTCAAATTTAGCAATTATTATTCAAGATTATGTTTGCTCTATGTATGATATTACTAACTTTTCTGATGGGTAAATTGCACCTATCAGCTTTGTATATTAGCGTAATACACTGTTTACAAATCTGATAGGTAAATTCTACCTATCATATTTGTATACCTATAACAGCTTTATAAGTGAACTGTATTCCAGAAGTTTATATACAGTATACACCATTTGCCGTATTCACCGTTAGAATTAATGAAGCTATTCATGAAGAATATTTACTTTTTCCAGGGGTATACTGATTTTATGGGCAGGGATAAGCAATGACGTATTGCAGTGTTTTTTTTCTTTTATGCAAAAGCGAAGTACACAAAGTATACAACTGAAGAGAAGGAGGCAAGACTCGCAGGGAACTAACAGTGTTGGTCAAGTTACTTAGAGAATTACAAGAAATAGCAATTCGTTATTGATTACTTATCCAAGAAAGTAATCCAGTTACTTAAAAACAAGTAATAGCGATTACTTGTTTTCAAAAGTAATTATTTTCTTTAATAATTACTTTACTTAGTTACATTTCAAAAACATACACAACCTACACAGTTCATTAAGTCTATATTCACCTGTTTCGCAGAAGAGGGGCCATCTAAAGGACATTTTTCACAGCGTGAAACTCAAAGTAATGTCAGGAATTTCCATGCATTAAACGCTCCATAGTCCTGCTCTCTCCCGGCCTCCATGTTCTCCCTTGTCGATCTACACATACGGCTGTTACCACTTATGTCACACCGCCACATTCTTGTCATGAAGAACTCCTGAAAACAAATTCATGGATTAGTAACGCAGCCTATCTGTAGGAAAGTAACAGCAATCTACTATTTTTAAACTGTAATCCCTTACTTTACTCATTATTTGATAAAAGTAATCCAATTCTAATTAAGCCGTTTTCATAACTCGTTACTGCGCATCATTGCTAGCCAGTGAACACTTAGAGAAAAAAAAAAAAAAAAAAAAAAAAAAAACAACCCCCACCGGCTGCGGAGCCATAGGTTGATCACAAGATAGGTTGAAGGTATAAATCTGAAAGAGTAAATCAATTATATTAATGACATTTGGATATCCATAAGGACAGCCGATATTATCCGATACCGATATATGCAGCCGTTTGCCCCCAAACCTGAGATAAACATCCCAGGACCCTACAAGCAATTCCAGCATATTTGGCAAAACCCAAGCATTGCATTATCAGAGTTTTCATTATCGGAGGAAAATCTGATAATGATTCTTACAGATATTACACTATTATGCTAATGTCGGGCTCATGTCGGTCGGCTGATATAATTGGACATTCCTAGTGATAACATGAATAAAATGTACAGGGCTTAACATAAACGTTCAAAGAAAATTTGGTGCATTTGATGTCTGCCGCCATGTAGTGGCGTCAACAGCATTAACATTACATACATTTGGTTTGTTTTAGTTCCATAGTGTAGCGGTTAGCACGCTTGCCTCAAAAGCAGAGAGCACTGATTCCTGGGTTTGCTACAGGGAACCACACGCTTGATAGTTAATCCTGGCTTTCCAGTTGGCTTTGATGTTTTTCAGCCAGAAGACGACACAGACAAACAGGTAGAGAATATCTCAGAGGAAGCTGATATCCCACCTATTGAGGACAACCCTGTTTTTCATCCCTCGGCCACCACTAAAGAGACCAAGGACATGTGTATTGGCAGGCATGCTTGGCGCAACATCTGCCACAACCTGGACGATACAGTAGGAAAATCAGCAGATGATGCTGCCGCAGTTGAGGTCACGAGGTTTGGAGATAAGACCTCTTTGTCTCTCACAGGAAATCCCCTGAGTTGGAGCCACCATACACAGGAGTACCTTCAGCTATTCAGAATAGCAAAATGTATGAAAATTGTATTGTTTATTTTACAAGTATTTTGTTTACTTTGAAATGATGATGGTCAGCCATTTTATGTTTTCGGGTGACATCGTGAATAGTCCAATAGGAAACCACTGTCATTGCTGACCCACTGCTTGTCTTGTTGTTTTGTAGTCTGGTCCAAAAAAAATGTAACATTTCTCTGCAAAACAGAGAATACACTGAAGTGAATTTATAAGCACAAAGGAAGACATGTCCAAGTTGCATCGGTTTGGTTCTTCTGGGTCCAGTTGAGTGACAGAGGGAAAGGAGGATGAAGGAGGGAGTTTAACCCTACCCCTGTGCCTTGAGTGATGAGTGTATCAAGCTCTTAATGGTGAGCGGAGCAAGCTGATCTTTCATGAAATCCCACAGCTCATGGAGAAAAGCATCATATTTGTCTTGCTGATTCCGGACGCTGTTGGTTGCCAGACTGTAGAATTGGATGGTGTAATCCGACACGCTCCCTGTGTCTTGGCATAAGGTAACAAGGGCTCTAGCTGCCTCCCCTCCAGGGATGACTTGTTAGAAAATTTGTGTGACTGAAGCGTCCAATGGGTAACATTTTTGTGACTTACAACCCCCTTCGGTGTTGCCCACGCCTCTGAGCTTCTCAGAGAAACGTGAGATAATGTACATGATCTTTGTTAGAAGAGACAACAAAGAGACGCTGGTTTTATAAAAACACTATAGTTTTCTGTTGAAAAGATGTGTTAAATACATCGTTATATACGTCATAGTTTGTTTGTTTTTTAAAAAGCAACAACCTCTGATATGTATATACTGTATGAACGTACATATAAATATAAGCAAACTATAGTTCACCAGCTTTAAATTGAGAAAAAAAAAAAAAAAAACAGAGACAAAAATACTAGGAGCACATCCAGTCCAATGAAACATCACTGCATAGAAGTGAAATGTAATTTTTTCACAAACTGCAATGAGTATACATCAGGCTATTAAATGACCAAAAGTCAACTGGATGAGACATTCATTCAAACACATGACAATAACAATGTAACAGCAAAAAGCACTAAAATATATTATGTATATACAGTGGAACCTCGGTTTTTGAACTTAATTCGTTCCTGAAGGCCATTAAACCAAAATCGAAACAATGTAAAATGGGTTAATCCATTCCTGGAACCAGGATAACTGATTATTCAAACTTTTCCAACAGCATTTTGTGTACATAAGTTCATAAACGAAACCAATGAAAAGAATTAGATCTAACAAAAAAAGATAAACACAACTTAATAATGAATAAAGCTATAAATAGGAAAGGCAATTTCAGTCGTGATTGCTCAATATTCGCTTCGCTTTCTTACAAATTATTGTCTCCGAAATACTATCGTCGGCCATTTTTTCCACTTCTTCTACTCTCTGAGATCTTTGCTTGGTGATCACAGTCACTCCTTTAGCTTCTTTTATTGCTTCTTGGTTCTTAATGATGGCACAAATTGATGACTTTGCTAAGCCATACCGTAGAGCCATGTCTGTACTGTATCTGAAACACAAGCGCCATCCTCATACTTTCATATAATCTCTTTCTTTACTTCTATTTTTGTTCTTACCATTTTTTCTTTCCCATGGTGATTTAGAAATAAAAAAAAATAGAAGTAGAAATACCGGCAAAATTAGACAACAGTTCTTAGTGTGTATATCCTGAGCGCGGGCGCCAAACACTCTAGCAATATATATATATACACTATATTACCAAAAGTATTCGCTCACCTGCCTTGATTCATACTATGAACGGAAGTGCCATCCCATTCCTAACCCAGAG